AGTCCCACGTGTCTCAGGCTGGCTTTGAACTCATTATACTACTAAGAATGACTTTGAACTCCTGACCCTTTTACCTCCACCTCTAAAGTGACAGGATTACAGGCAGATACCAGTAGATGTAACTAGATATCACCTAGTTTATATGATGCTAGGGTTGGTACCCAGGGCTTCACTCGTGCTAGGCTAACACTACAAACTGAACCATATCCCCTGCCCTTTCTCCACGTTATTTATTCAGTTTCTTGACAATGGGTGATACTCTAATGATGTGAAATTACCTGATTTTATACCTTTCTCTGCCAACTAACTCCGTTGGTTTTCTTCATACTGTGGCCTCCACTAGTTCCCATTGCTTGTTCAACCATCTACTCCCCAAAGTCCCTTCACATCTGCCATCTCCCCTCCCAGCAATCAGAAGTCTCTGCCTCTCTCCCCCTTCCCCCATTCCTACCAGGATGATTCACTTTACCATTTCCAGCCATCCTTCCTCCTCCCTTCAAGTATATCCATTAGAGAGAATCCAAACTCCATTCACAGGAGTATGGAGACTAACAGCACAAAGATCCCATACCCTCCTTCCCCCGTTGGTTTTCATTGCTGGAGAGTGATATCACAGCGTCCGTCAATGCCCCAACATGTAGGAGGGGGAGAGCCACCCTAAGCACTGTGTGGCTGTCATTGGCAACTGAGAGTGACAGCCAGATCGTCCTCTCAAAGGTATTCAGAGCATGCAACCAAGTTCCTGCCTAAGCCCATATGCTTGCTATGCTATACCTGCTCCCATCATGACATGTCCTTTCTCTTAGTACTCAAACCCATGAGGGTATTCTATATCTTGGAATGTTCTGATGGCTATCCTGTTCATTCATTAGAGAGGCTAAAGCAAGTCCTGAAAACTACATGTCCCAACATCCTTTATCCCCCGCCTCCTTCTCTCTATCCTCTATCCCTCTACTGCTCTCCCTTCTCATCTCTTTGTTCAAGGCCCAGGCCTCCTTGCTCACCATCCTAAGGCCTTTGAACTTTTTAATGCTTCTACCCAGTCACTTCCATGGCTTAACCTTTTCACTTCTCACAAGCGTCTGCTTATACATCAAGTTCAATCCCTCACACAGACTCACCGTCACCCACCGTCCTGGTTTTCCTTCCTTGCCCTGCTGCTGTGGTAGAACACTGACTAGAGGCAACTTGGGGAAGAAAGGGTTTCTTTGGTTTACAGGGCTACAGTTCATCACCATGGGGAAACCAGGGCAGGAACTGAAGCAGAGACAATGGAGGAACACGGAACACGACTTACGACTTCCTTTCTTACCTAGCCCACCAATCAAGAGTTGGTACCTCCTACAAGTGGGCTGGGATCCCATCAGTTAACAATCAAGAAAACGCCCACAGGCCAATCTGATGGAAGCAATTCCTCAGCTGAGATTTCTGCTTTCCAGATAAGTATACATTGTGTCAAGTTGACAAATGCTACCGATGACTACCCACCACCACCCACTCATTCCCACCGTCACCCACTCAGGCCCGCCGTCACCCACTCAGACCCATTGTCACCCACTCAGACCCATTGTCACCCACTCAGACCCATTGTCACCCACTCAGACCCATTGTCACCCACTCAGACCATTGTCACCCACTCAGACCCATTGTCAACCACTCAGACCCATTGTCACCCACTCAGACCCATTGTCACCCACTCAGACCCATTGTCAACCACTCAGACCCGCTGTCACCCACTCAGACCCGCCGTCACCCACTCAGACTCGCCGTCACACACTCAGACCCATTGTCACCCACTCAGACCCATTGTCACCCACTCAGACCCGCCGTCACCCACTCAGACCCGCCGTCACCCACTCAGACCTGCCGTCACCCACTCAGACCCATTGTCACCCACTCAGACCCATTGTCACCCACTCAGACCCGCCGTCACCCACTCAGACCCGCCGTCACCCACTCAGACCCGCTGTCACCCACTCAGACCCATTGTCAACCACTCAGACCCATTGTCACCCACTCAGACCCATTGTCACTCACTCAGACCCATTGTCAAGCACTCAGACCCATTGTCACCCACTCAGACCCATTGTCACCCACTCAGACCCATTGTCACCCACTCAGACCCATTGTCAACCACTCAGACCCATTGTCAACCACTCAGACCCATTGTCACCCACTCAGACCTGCCATCACCCACTCAGACCCATTGTCACCCACTCAGACCTGCTATCACCCACTCATTCCCGCCATCACCCACTCATTCCCGCCGCCACCCACTCAGACCCATTGTCAACCACTCAGACCCATTGTCACCCACTCAGACCCATTGTCACCCACTCAGGCCCATTGTCACCCACTCAGGCCCGCTGTCACCCACTCAGACCCGCCATCACCCACTCAGGCCCGCCGTCACCCACTCAGACCCATTGTCACCCACTCAGGCCCTCTGTCACCCACTCAGGCCCTCTGTCACCCACTCAGACCCATTGTCACCCACTCAGGCCCTCTGTCACCCACTCAGGCCCTCTGTCACCCACTCAGACCCATTGTCACCCACTCAGACCCGCTGTCACCCACTCAGACCCATTGTCACCCACTCAGGCCTGCTATCACCCACTCATTCCCGCCATCACCCACTCATTCCCGCCATCACCCACTCATTCCCGCCGCCACCCACTCAGACCCATTGTCACCCACTCAGACCCATTGTCACCCACTCAGGCCCATTGTCACCCATCAGGCCCGCTTCACCCACTCAGGCCCACCGTCACCCACTCAGACCCATTGTCACCCACTCAGGCCCTCTGTCACCCACTCAGACCCATTGTCACCCACTCAGACCCGCTGTCACCCACTCAGACCCATTGTCACCCACTTAGACCTGCCATCACCCACTCAGACCCATTGTCACCCACTCAGACCCGCCGTCACCCACTCAGACCTGCTGTCTGTCACCCACTCAGACCCATTGTCACCCACTCAGACCAGCCGTCACCCACTCAGACCTGCTGTCTGTCACCCACTCAGACCCATCTCACCCACTCAGACCCGCCGTCACCCACTCAGACCCATTGTCACCCACTCAGACCCATTGTCACCCACTCAGACCCGCCATCACCCACTCATTCCCGCCATCACCCACTCATTCCCGCCGCCACCCACTCAGACCCATTGTCAACCACTCAGACCCATTGTCACCCACTCAGACCCATTGTCACCCACTCAGACCCATTGTCACCCACTCAGACCCATTGTCACCCACTCAGACCAGCCGTCACCCACTCAGACCCATTGTCACCCACTCAGACCTTCTGTCACCCACTCAGTCCTGCCGTCACCCACTCAGACCCGCCGTCACCTATTCGCCTTCACCCCTTGATTCCACACAGCTCTTTAATGGAATGTGTTTCTTCCCTGCACTTCTGTTACCTCTTCTATTCCATGGGTTTCATCCCACATTCTGAAGATTCCTTTCCCATCCCAAATTCCACATGTCATCAGGCCTTTGTTACAGTGTTCCTAATGACCAGACAGCATTGCTGCCCAGCTGCCTGGAAATCCATGAGTGGTCTTCTTGGCCCACCCCCACCAGCTTCCAGATGGCACAGCTCTTCCAGACAGCAAATCTAATACATGGGAAGCAGGAGCAGGCCACAGTACTCTTGGCCTACAGAGGAGAGGACCTCCAGGGTGAACCTCATTATAAAGCCATATGACAGCCCTGTCCCTTGACATATGGGTTGGGAATTGGGATGGCTGTCGCCTCACTTAGCTTCTAAATTGCTACAGGGCAAAAGAGCGGTTCTTTGGACCAGGTGAAACCTCACAGTGGCTAGCACAGTGCTTTTCTCCTGTTAAGTATGCATTGCAGAGGTAGCGAAAGACGTTAGAAATTAGGGAGTAGGAAGCGAAGGCATTGTCTTGGTTGGTTGTCTAGAATCATCGCCATCAAATAATGGGCCTAGTAGAAATGTGGGGCCTCTGTGCTCAGGAGGCACTATTTTGACATGTGCAATAAATGTACCGAAAGGCACAAACATAATGAGTGTGTATTCACAGAGGGATCTCAACGAATTTTTATCTAAATGACTTTACACTCTTTTCATGTACAAAATGAACCAAATTGTCACGGGGAAAAAAAGTGTTCATCTGTCTTTGTTACTTTCATTTTATTTTTATACTAATGAGACAGTGACTTTCTAGAATTAAAAATGAGACACGGGCTTCCCAGAATCAATTTCTAATCTCACAATTTTCAAATTAACTTAAGTGCAATCAAGAATCTTGTGTACATATTTTTCAACTGGGAAAAAAAAATGATGACCACATTTTCACATTACCTGGCAAGATCCAAACAAAACATCAACAACAAAACCATGGAACACAATAGCACGAGCAGATCAGAGTCTTTGACTTTAGGAAGACTAAGAAACTGGATGCTAGCTGAGCTATCCCTGTGCTAACAGCCCCAGTTACATTATCACGATTCTCTAGCTGTTGCAGACTCGACGTTGCCTGCTGGTTTCCTTTCTTCAGTCGTTATTATATTTTATCTGCATGCCTTTCTTAGTAAGCTGTCAGTAATGGTGGGAAAGATGCCGGCCATGTCCCCTCTTTTCATCCCAGGCCGCCTCTGCAGGATCACAGCTCCACTTCACCCCAGTCCCTACATTTTCCCTGCATCTGCCTGGCTCCCAGCTCCTCAGGCAAGAACTTCCCATCTCTAACCTCACACCAGGAGTCCTGGTCCCGGTGGAGCTGTGGGGGCGCAACAGTGAGAAACGTAATGAGCAGGTCACTGACTGCTGATGGAAGCATGTTTCGTTTCCGTGGGAAATCGCATGCAAGGTAGAAATGCAACAGATAAAGGCTGGGCTTATGAAGCGCAATCCTTGCTGGGGACTGCTTTGTCAAAGTGGGGACAAACACTTTTGAGATCCCAGAAGTGTAACCTGCAAGAAATACAATGATGATGAGCACAGACAAAGAAACCAACTCACCGCTAAGTCCAGGGTTGGGAGGTGTAGCGGTTGGGAGTCCTGGAGAAAGATCCATCAGCAATATCTCCCCTCTTCTTCTTCCACGCTACCCGGCAAAATGTGCACTGCCTTGAGAGTGTGTACTTTCTCCCCCTCTTTAGTAAGTGAAGCTCAGCTAAAAGGCAAGGACATGATTAATGGAGTGTGAGTTAAGTGCAAAATTTCACACTTCTTTACACAGGTCAAGCCGCACACCCCGGACTTCTTCCGTCTTAGAGGGGGTCAGAGTGCGGAATGATGAGGAGCCATCTTCAGGCAAAGGGCATGACCTTCAGGATTTCAGATGTGGAGTGGAGAGGTGCAGGAGCCCAGCACAGCTGATATGTGGGGCATCCTGGATGCCGAGGGACAACACAAGGAGAATATAAATTTCTACTTTCTTTAAGCCATTATATTTTAGGTCTGCCATTAAAACAAACTAGATTATAACTTAACACTCAATTATTGAAAAAAAATAAAAGTAAAGATTTCCAAAGAGTGGAAAGCTTTCCCAATATATGATTTATCAATGATAAATGGATTTATGTTTTTAAATCAGTGTTCTTGTTCGAAGCAACACAAGAAAGATGGGTAGCCATGTGGAGAAATGAATGAGTAGCTTGTTAAGATCCCACAAAAGCATACCCACAGAGACAACAGGCATATGAAAAGGTACTCACCCTCATTATCGGACCCAAGTATTCCACCCCAAAGCTTCCAGAAAGTCTGAATTTAAAACCATTGACACACAAAGTGTTGGTGGCAATGCATAGCCCCTGAAATTTTTCTGTGCTGCTTGCTACTGGGACAAAAGAATGTCCAGTGGTGTTCTCAAATCTCTACTGGGAAAGCAGAAGGCCCAGTGGTGTTCTCAAATCTCTACTGGCAGGCACTGACATTTGCATATTTACAGGCTATGGTGGCACACGCCTTTAACCCCAGCACTCGGGAAGCAGAGGCAGGTGAATCTCTGTGAGTTTGAGGCCAGCCTGGTCTACAGAACAAGTTCCAGCCGGGTGGTGGTGGCGCACGCCTTTAATCCCAGCACTTGGGAGGCAGAGGCAGGCGGATCTCTGTGAGTTCGAGACCAGCCTACAGAGCTAGTTCCAGGACAGGCTCCAAAACCACAGAGAAACCCTGTCTCGAAAAAGCAAAAAAAAAAAAAAACAAGTTCCAGCACAAGCTCCAAGGCGTCAGAGAAACCCTGTCTTAAAAAACGAAGAAGAAGAAGAGGAGGAGGAGGAGGAGGAGGAGAAAAAAAGAAATGTGCCTATCTTGAGTCTCAAAGCATAAATTACTTTTGTTGCAGTGATAAAATACTATGGACCAAAGGCAACTTTTGAAAGAAAGAAAGATTAATTGAAAGAATAGCAGCAACGAACCAAGGCAGGAAACTGAGGGATCGCACTTTCAATAACTCACAAAAAGTAGAGCATGCCCCACCAGAAGTGGGATGAATTTATAAAATCTCAAAGCCCACTCCCAATGACATTCTTTCCCCAGGTTGTACCTCCTAAAAATTCCATCTCCTTTCCCAAAAAGTACCAGTGTTCAAATATGTGAACTAACAGGGACCATTTTGCCTTTAACTCACCACGGTCCGCTGCTGCCCCACAGGCTCATGGCCATGTCATCATGAAAAATACATTTAGTCCAACTTCAAAAGTCCCAAGTCTTCAGCAGTCTCAACACTGTGCGAATCTTTTCAGTCTCAAGGCATGGCATTCTGAAAAAAAAAAATGCTGGGAAACTATTGTCATCTAAAACAGCTTAGGTGATTATCTCAAATCCAAGGAAGAGGAACATAGCCACGGGGCATAGAGGGAATTTTTCACCTACTCACCAAGCAGCCTTCCCAGCCTTAATCTAGATTCTAGTGAATTCTGGCCCCTAGCTTCCTTGCTCGGCTTGATCCCTTTATGACATCAGCACAATGAGGACATTCAACATTTACACATACTTTCTCCTAATCTAGTTTAGCCAAGTGAAGCAGAAGCAAAGACTAATTGACAAGTTGTCATAAGACTTCACAACACATTCTTCAGAATGCTCTGTTTCCACTGCTGTAACAAAGTCCCGAGGAAGTCAGCCTCAGTGAGAAAAGGTTTACTTTGGCTCGGGTTTCAAGGATTTGGTGCTCGGTCACTCTGCTCCATTGTTTGCAGGGTAGAGACTGACTAATAGACCAGAGCCACCTAAGTCCTAGCAGCTGGAAAGCAGAGGTTCTGCGAAACAGGAAGATGCCAAGGACAAGGAGAAGGTCTCTAGGGCATGTTTTCAAGAACCTACCTCTTTCAAGTACATCCCAAGCCCTCAATTTCTATGCATCTCCTCCTGATAGCCTGTCAGATGATAAACTTATCTGTGCATTAAGATGTTAGTGAAGTCAGAGCCCTGTGATCCATTCGTTTTTCACAAGGCCCCGTTTCTTAAGATTGCTCCATGGCAAAGGAAACTTTCAGCATATGAACCTTGGGAGGATGGCAATCTGGGTTGCAAAAACATAAGGAAACACCACAAAAGGAGTTCCAGAAAATAAATGCAGAGAACATGGGTTTCCAGTGTCTGGGTGCATGGCTGGGGCTGTGATGAATTCAGGGATGCGACTGTTTGAGAGAAGAGGATCTGGTCAGGAAGGTGCAGGCTGGAGGTCTCTCAGAGCAAGGTAATTTTAAGTCATCTGGCCCTGCACCAGAGAGAAACCTTGCCTAGAAAATGACGCTCAGGAGATAGAAGGCTCTGCATTCTGATCATGGCGCTACAGTTTACTATTTGCATGACCACAGGCAAATGACATTAGCCTTTCTGAGCCCCTATCTGCTAAATGGGAGGGGAGGGTGGCTGTTTTTATCTCGCAGCAATTTTGTGAGGAGTAAATGAGGCAAGAGAGTATCTGGCATCCAGATAGTACTCAGTAAATTTAAGCAGTAATCATTTCTATAATCACTACTAATTTTATTATTGTCACTATTATATGCACAGCTTAGCAGGAATGTTGCCATTAAGCTTTGTGATTCATTCTAATTCGCTTCCTGTGATATAGGCCATGCCTATGGACTGCTAAATCTGCAGAAGAGATTTCGCCTTCAGATTTATTGACTGGGGCTTCAGTGTTCTCCTAACACTTTTAATAAATTACCTTCTAGCGGCCCTGATGGCGCTCGGGTGATATGTGTCCACCAGAGGCAAATATATGTGAAAGCAAACAACAAAATGCTATTTGGCCAGACTGTATGATACCTCAAAAGAGCAAGCAACTAGTTCAAAACAAATGCCGTGGAAAACTCAGTGTTCTAGTTTATGTAAGGAGGCTCAGCATGGCGCCTTTCAACGTTACAATGTCTTACCACTGCGCCACTTTTTTTATGTCCCTAATTCTAGTTTTACTTGCTTTTAAAAGGCAATATTTAGTGTTTTATATAAACATGCCTCTGAAATATAAAAAGGTTGTTTCTAGACAGGGGCTTTATACAGAAATACCTAGGGTAACACTATCAAAGGTCATCAGCCACGGAAATGCTCTGGCTTGCTAATAATTGGGATTCAATCCTACCCCTTAAAGGTGTATGCCCCTTCTTTTCTTTTTTATTACAGCCTGGATTTGTATACTATTTTGAATGCTCACATTTCTACAGTCATTTGCATAGCACAGAAAACATATTACATAACAAGTCAGTCAAGCTAAATTATAGGCAGTTCTTTTCAATCAGGCCACTGCGGTTCTGTGTTGCGCACTTCAGCTCCCTGTCTCCCACTGCTCAAATGTTGCCATGGTGACCAATTTTTGTCATGTACATTCCCAGGTCCCATGTGGCCCCCTTATTCATAGCTCTTTGCCATCGCTACGGCGACCGCTAGCTGTTATCTCGTTTTCTAATCTCCCCTTAGCAACACGTATCACCTTTAAAGTTACCTGGGTGAGTTCTCGGAGCCTGAATACAGATGACATGTTACACAAGCAAGCAAATCATTTCGTGGTAAATAAAATGATTATGGTAATAGCAGAGCAGCAAGGCTACCTGAGCCGTCCTTAAGCAGGAGCTGTTCTGCAAGTTTGCTTCCTGTTCAATATCTGCGTCATTGTCGGGCGGCTGGAGAAATCGACTGTTTTAAGACAAATGGAACAAGATGGCAAAACCCGAGAGCCGAGTTGGATCAGCCACATTGCCATCTATCCAACCGCGAGCTGTTATGGCAACTAAAAATCACAGCCGCTCGGATACTGGAAGGAGGAGCTGAGCCATGTAAAGACAGTCTCGTTTATCCATATGCCTCAAAACACAATGTCATATGGGTAAAGTAAATGTCACCTTGTTTTCCTCTTTAAATATTGTGGGGTGAATGTCTTTCGAATAAAAACACAACCTCCAAAAAAAAAAAAAGAAAGAAAGAAATCACAAGAAACCAGATCAAAGACGTAAATAGAACAAAATATGCACCAGAGATCTCATCCAAGATCAAAGATGTGAATGGAATTGCCATAAGAAGTGCAGAACTCACCAGAACAGAATGTCTTCAGTGTGGAAAGAATTCTACCCAAAAAAGAATAAGAAGAAAAGGAGGGGGGCAAGGATTCTGGGAAATCAAACCCTCCACAAAGCCAGTAAAATGTCTTTATTTTCTCCTTTGCACTAAGCAAAACTGTATATGCCATTCCGTAGACATGATCAAATGCGGGGCCAGCTTCACCAGCACTGAAGGACAGAGGCACAACAGAACAGCGCATCTTCTGCGGCTTTGCCTTTCTCACCAGAATTAACCCTGAAGACATTTATCTTTTACAGTGTTTCTCTGTAGTTCAACGTAGTTGCAGAGAGTTGATGAAAGCGTGAAATAATTAAGGTTGCATTTCAGAGAGGAGCTTTGCTTATTAAAATGAAGTAATTAATTTAATGCATAGGAAAAAAAGAAAAGAGGCTGTAGGGGGAGTTCCCTTTGTTAAATATTTATCACTTGAGTCCGGACTGGATGTCACTCAGAGAAGCCATGGTGAGAGATAGGGCACTGTCTGAAGAGAATAATAAGAGCACTCTACTAAATAGAGGGAGGGCTGATTTTTTTTGGGGGGGGGGGATAGTTCTTGGTTCTCTTAGACATTATCTGTTATACTGCCTTGTTGCCTGTGTTCAGTTTGAAATAATTCAGTCTTTATTTCCAAAGTGCCCTGTCTCTAGCCCTAAGGGACCATCATCTCATCTGAGAGAGTGAAGTCAGCTCTTCATCCTTCTCTACCACTCTGTGGTAAGGAGGTGCAAGAGAGGAGAGGGAGGGACAGAGAGCACCACAAACAGAAACAGGCGAAAGCAGGGATCAGGAACACAGGTCCACATCTGCAGAAAGGAGAGACTTGGGAATGGAAGGGCCCACAATTCCCTTCAGCCTAACAGTAGACAACTTAGACTCCACGATAAAGTTTGATCAAATGGTAGCATGGAAAATAAATTTTATCAAATTGATTCTTTAGAGAGAGAGAGAGAGAGAGAGAGAGCAGCCTTTTGGGACATCTAAATAATGTTTCCCTAATAGTATTTAAGCTTTAATGTGTTCGTTGACATATGCATCCTATGTTTCTTTTAGAACAGAGATGTTTTAATTCCAAATACTTAAGAATGGCACAAATTGAGGGCAATCTGTTTCGATGAAGCCAGTGTACCCAACAAATATACATCTCTTCATTTTGAAGCTATTTCCTATATTTTGGTTTTGTCATATGCTGAAGCCACATTTCCATACTACTGTAGAACCTCATTATTGACTGGCTTTTGTTTTGACCCAGGGTCCCTACATGTCTAATAGAATTCCTGGACTGATTTTGCCTGAAAGTCAAATGCAGACGCATGGATTCAAAGACACAGGATTCCTTACTGGGATGTTTCTGCTACAGCGTGAAAGCAATGGGGGACCACTGCTGCATCTGGGGGAAAATGCAAGACCAAGAGGAGGAAGGATGATGGAGGACATGGGTGACAAGCCTAGATAGAACACTGACAGCCCTGAGGGATTCTGGGGCTTTTTAGTCCTTAGCTCTAATTTCTATGGGATTTGTCGGGAGAAAAGAAATCGCCTTTCAGTACATCATCCAGCTGATCGTTGGAAGAATATGTGTGGACTCTTCCAAAGAAGAAAGAACAGGAAGGGGAGAGGTGGGGAGGAAAACGGGGTTGGAATCAGCAAACAACGGCCATGGTCCTGCAGCTAAAGCAAAGAGTTGACCACGCATGTGGCCTGCTGCACCTTCAAGGCCCCCTTTCTTTTTTGACAAGCTGGCCTATACTGGGGCTGGTTAAATGGAATTTTGTTTCTTTGGCTGAAACATTAAAATAGTACTTTCCAACCACAGGCAATGCTCTCTCCCCAACCAGGGCACAGCTGGGAGGGGGGAGTGGGGGGTTGCCCCTGGCAGCTGATGTGTAAAATGCATAAAATGCAGGGATGACACTCACACCCTGAAAAACACAAATCCCAACTCCCCACCTCCAGGAAGCATTCCTGCCTCAAATGGAAATATGGCCAAAGTGAAGAAACTACTAAGATTCTAAAATGCCCCTTCAAGTTCTCAGTACTCAACCTTTAGACTTTATGGGAACATTTTGACCCAAAGATGTTTGCTCAAAAATAATGAGATCCCATCATCCATATTTTCATGATAACAATGCTTAGGACACTTCCCAGTCACGTACTAAAACCCCTCCAAGTTTTATAAGTACTCAGTTTCCCTTTGGGACTGATAATTTGGTAGACAAGCTTAAGCCCAAACCTTTCGTGGGAATAAAATAATTCTTCACAGTACTGTCTCTCACTTTTATAAGCTCTTTGGAATCTGGTGCCCAGAAATGACTTGGCCCTTCTACAGACTATACTCCTCCATTTTCATGGTGTGGGGACTTTCCAAAAACAAACTATAAATAGCTTTCACTTGGGAACTAATTTGATTTTCACAAATCACAGCCTTTACAAGGAAGAAAAGCCATTTTTTTTTCCAACAGTGTAATACTGGGGCGCAGAGGTAGTTAGACAGCTGTTTTTCTCAGAACCCTTGAATGGATTTTGTTTGTTTGTTTTTTTACATAAGAGACTTGCAATCTTGCAATACAGGGCAGTTCCACCTTAAAAGTAATGTCCTCTTTCCCAGTCTTTTTGACTCAGGTACATGAAAATTCACAGAACTGTACATGGTTTATAGCTGATGAGGATCCTGCTGCGTTTGCACGCTACTTTAGAGAATGCAGTGTGTTCTTTTGGATGTTTCAAAGTTCACTGAAAGAAATAAAGGGGACCCTATCATGTCCTCAGTCAGAGACCAGCCTTGGACCACACTTCCTGGTAAAATCCATTGAGCAATGTTGTAAAGTCACTTAGTAAGGTGCAGTGTATTAGTTACAAGTTATCTCCAAGAGTTTAAAATTTAAAGGCCAGGCATGTCTTTCCTTGAAAATTCCCTTTGTCATTTATTAAAACTTTGAAATTTTAGGATAGCTTTTCTATGTAAGATTCTATAGCCCAAGATCCTCATGCAAATATTTAAAAATATGTACTACATATCTGCTGCCTAATTTGCATGGAAAACACTTTGCTTTACTGTCCTTTAAACATGGAAGCATGTCCTATAAGTATAAACACACATACACACACCAGAAAGCTCTTTCTTTTTTTTTTTTTTTTTCGAGACAGGGTTTCTCCGTAGCTTTTGGTTCCTGTCCTGGAACTAGCTCTTGTAGACCAGGCTGGCCTCGAACTCACAGAGATCCGCCTGCCTCTGCCTCCCGAGTGCTGGGATTAAAGGCGTGCGCCACCACCGCCCGGCACCAGAAAGCTCTTTATTCTTCTCTACAGAGTTCCCAAATGTCCAAAACTAAGTATTATCTAGGTTTCAAGAAAGAGTAGATTTTGTGTAGCCTAATCAAGACTTCTCTGGAAAAGGTCCAGGGATTTATATTTTAAGATAATGTCCAGGGATTCACATAATCTGATCATCTGAGATGCTTTGAGAGAATAAGCACATGGCAGGAGACTGGAGCAGACATTTTAAATATTAATTCATTGGGCACTCACCCCTCAAAAACCCTACAGATTCTGAAGACACAGAGAAACATGCGGCAGAGTCAGCTCAGGGTTCACTTGCACACTTGAAGCAGATACTGTTACCTCACCTAGTCAAACTTCTAAACCCATCAAACCTTGTCCAGCATGGGGGCCGGAGCCTGTGTTTACAGTGTCTACCACCACTGGCTCCTTTGTGATCTTATTCAGGTGCACCTTCAGGTTCTTGCCCCTGGTCACTAACTATCTTATCTTTTCTGTTATCTCACTGTCCCTCCTGCTGGTGATTTTCCTGCAATAGTCTTTTCTCTCTTTATCTGTGTGTCCGAGTTTCCCTTCCTGAGACTTCTAAAATTCCACCAAGAGCCATCAAAGTGGATGACTGGATTCTACCTGCTAAGCCCAGTTTATCTGTTACCTGGAGCCTGTGACTGATTCTTTGAAACTGATCTAATCTTTGCTGGTATTTGTACTCGCCTCAGTCCCCTGACTAGTGTGGACTCCACCCAGGTTTACATTTTGGCTTAGAAGGTCCCAGTTGAGTAGTCACTGACTCCCACCTGTCGCAGGGCTTGAGTGACAGCCTTTCAAACTTGGAAGACCCAGATGGCCTCTTGTTTTTTTCTATAACTTAGAAAACAAGCCCCATGCTTCATTCATACCTATTGCTTCTTTAAAAAAGAAACAAAAATAAAAAACATAAACAGAATCCGTGCAATAAGCGTTTAAACAGAAACAGAAAAGGCAGTGTATAACTAACCTGTTTCTTGCTTGTTACTCTCTATTGTAGCTTTCCCCAAGTGAAAAATTGGACTTCACAGTTCAAACTTGTAAGATCTATGCCATTGGGCTAAAGTCGTAGAGAAAGAAACTGTAACTTTGGCCAACTGTTATCAATCATGTATATGTTTAATCTCTGTACTTTGTCTGAATTATGATGTCATAGACCACATGTGCAGCTGAAAGGGGTTTTTTTGTATGTGTGTGTTTTTCCTAGGAATCCATGTATTCACCTGATTTTATTCGCCAGGAGAATTTTCTTTTCCTTATAGAAAATAATGTAATCAAAGTGGGAAAAGGAAACAATTGCCTTTGTTTTGCCTGGCGATTCATCC